AAACGGAAAAAGACGTCAAATCGCAACTAATTTCAGAGATCCTTCTCTCACTCTTTCTATGGCGCGTTACGTTTGGTATAAGCTATACGTCAAACCGAAAATATTTCAATGAACATTGTTTAAAAAATCTTATTGTTTAATTAAGGTTGACAATTTTGATAAAAATGGCTTCACCATGTAAAAAATAGAAATTCGAAGCAGAATGATATTTGCGGGCCACTAAAGGGGAGCGGCAAAAAGGGCGCCACGGCACAACTGGGGAAAATAAGCACTAAAATAAACTGCAAGCCTGATTTTAGATACACCTAGCATCGCAGTTTGTCATGTAATAAAATTAATCATTAGAATAGTTGGGTGATAGAATATCCGAGCACTAACAAGCACGACTTTCAACACGGAATTCGCAGCTGATAGTGACTAATGAAGTCACCTACTCATCTGGCATACGGGGTCGTATATATGACTTGTTTTTGTGTTTTACACAAAAAATATCCCGATGTATGTAAATAGAAAAAACAAAATGCCAACATAATTTAGTTGTGTATTTTTGTATATATATTCTTCTAATTCGGGTGGGCTCGAAATCAGATCTTCAAAACGTGGCTCCAATTCATTACATTGTATTCGCAATAAAGAATTCAAGTGATTATTTGTCAGTCTTGTCCGAAGTTTTGATTTGTTAAGGTTCATAATTGTGTTGCTAGAAAGACTGATGCTGGAAAATTTACTTTTATATTAGGAGAAACGACTTCCAAAATTTGCAGCATACATTCGCGGAAAAATTCCCTCTCAACAAACGGGCGATTCTTTTTGGCAATGTTGTGGGCTACAATATAACTGACCAGTAACGTAGATTCATTTTCATTTGACATTTTTTGAACATGTTTGTTTAAATTTGAAATCATAATTTGAAGAATGCTTCGTCTCATAATGGCGCGTAAAGTAAAGACTGGAATATTTTGTTGGCAAAGAAGACAAATCGCTGAATTTTAATTCTTTTCAATGAAGAAATAAGGCCGTCTGTTTTCAGTGTCTGTTTTTCGTTTTGTGACATCTTTAAGCTTTCTTAATATATGGCTGATACCTAAAAATCTGCCGTATGTAATCCCAATATCGGTACGTATACATAAGATAACGGTAAAATTGAATTGGTAAAATCCAAAGTTCGTCGGGCCATTTTAAATCGTTACGTGAGGCGTTATTGGCCCGCGCTTTGGCAACCCTTGCATTAGAATCACAACATACCCGGTGAGCTGGCTTGATTTGGATTAAAATTAGAATTACTATTGCACACTGTCAAGCAAAAGTTGATGAAGTTGTCATCGCTTGTACAAATTTTAAAAACCGTTAACAGATTGAGGCGCATTAGCAATCTACGATGTCATAATGCCCTCACAGAGATAAGATAGCTCATAACATTATGCTAGACTCGCAGGGATTCTCAACCTTTTCCCTGTTAAGTACCCCCGAATCATGAAACAATCAGCCCGAACCCCCAGTAATCAGACACCAAACAAAGTGGTAATATATTGAATAACAGTTCGCTGGAACAACAAGCAGTAACTAAATTAAATCGTCGTGTTGATGTTATTACCCTTTTCCCCCTCCCAACAAAAATTCTAAATAAATCTCTCTCTTAAGTTTCAATTAGCAAATCACTTTCTGCAATGTTTGCAGCACATTGTATTCTGAGATTCCACATTTTGGCTGCAAAGCCGCAGATTCCACATTGTTGCGTCACAACAACACAGGATCAGGGAAAACTACGCTGAGTTTCAATCGGCACGCATTTTCCTCTGGTAGTAAAGGAAATTAAAAAATAGCAACGCATGAAAACTCAACTGCTATCAAAGTACCCCTGAAAATCTTCCAAAATCGCGAACCTCAGGTTGAGAACCCCCATGCTAGAGTGTACAATGATATTGAAATCCTCTTCTGAATAAACTATTAAACTGTTGACAAACTAACCAAGCCAAACTTTAAGGCAAAATTATCATTACTCACGTTACATTTTTTGAAATATATTAACAAGACCAGATTATTTTTGTAAGATAAAGCTGAGCTTGCTGACAAAATATGGTCATGTTCTTTCGCTTACAGAAACTCCAAAACGGTTACTAATCAAAATACGACAAGTGTAAAGCAGATGTAATACATCACTATATCCTGAACGTGATTAGGTGGTAAGCCTCTACATGTTACGTAGGCGTAAAGATACATTTAAATTCTCTCTGGATTAGACTATTGTTTGGACATTGGTAGTAAACTGGCGACAAATTAAGAATATTAAAATTCAGCTATTAATTTTTTATTATGTTATGTAAATATCGTGAGTTAATATAGAATGTCATAAAAACACGAAAAAACATGAAAACGCAGATGCTGATCAGTGTTTCTCAAACTTTTGTGCTACGAAACCTTCTCTAACGCAAAAGTGAAAAAATATTTGAAAACAAAATTTCAAAGACACTCACAAGCAAGTTCGGTTAAATTCTATGTGTGAGCTTGCTTATATTTTTTAAAAGTTTATCAAATTTTAGGAAAATTTTGAAACTGCTACCCAAATTTTTTTTTTAACATTTATTCATCACCTAGATTGGTTTTAATGCAACCGTGGCAGAAAGTATTATTTTGCACTGGCGGGACGCAGCAAATAAAACAGCATTCGTGGTGCATTTTTTTCAAGACTGGTGAATTGTCATTTCAAAGGAATCAAAATATTTGTTGGGTAACTAAGTTGAAATTCTCTTTCAGTAAATAACATTGAGGAGTAAGATTATTAGTAATCACTGAACTCTGAATTGACGTATAATGAATCCAAACACAAATTGAAATTGATAATTCCGCATCTCAGACAGTATTGCTCTTATTGACAGAACTACTCCTAAATGTACTATTACTTGCTCAATTGGGTATTGCTGCAACGGAAATTATTGTACGCGCTCTAGAGAAAGGACGCAATAGGGCGTCGAGCCATATAGTTTTAAAATAACTGACGTGAGAATAGAACAATATAGTAGTAAGTAGAGTATGGAATAAATGGCACAATATCACAATCCACCAAAAAGTACAGGCATGATAAATCAGCGTTGTGAACAGAATCAATGCTTCTTGGCTGGTATGAAGATATATAAAAAGATATATAATCAGTCCATTTAAATTGACCGAAATGAGAAATTTTAATTCGATTATATTGTGGTTGATTTGCGAATTCCCATATGTATTTATCCTTAACTAGGAACGGTTGAATATGTATCTATGGTTATGACTATAATATACAGAGGCATTGGTACAGCATGTACGTAGGGTATATGCATATAAATTGAATTGACGTGTATGTATATCATCGGAATGAACCTATATGGCATAGGCATATGACATGAGCTTTGTTTGGTTGACTTATATGTATGCATGTGCATATTTTGGCAGTTCATGTATAACACACGTTACCAAACCTATCGAACAAAATTAGTTATTTCACGTTGAAGTTTATTAAGACAACGGTTATTTGTATACTATATAATATTATATAGTATTGTATAGTTTTCAGCTTTTGAGGCGATTTCTGGTACTCTGTGTTTTAAAATTCTGAAAACACAGATTCGCATTTATATGAATTGCCGAAAATACGTTTCTAATGAAATGCTAAATATTTATTTGTTTTAAACGAGTTTGGAAGAATTCCACTCTGGGAAAATTATATTTTTCGATCTGCTTTCAACTGTATAAAAGTCATTATTATTCGGCTCGATCGTTATTTCAGATTTATGTAGTCGTAAATTTAAAGCAATAAAATTTTATTTTCCCAACGGAAAACTGTATACGGGAAAAGAATAAGCTGCAAAATAGCATCTGGTTTTCGTATACTCCCAAAAACAATCTATGACGCACCCTAGGTTCACGGTCCGTAGAATGGGAACCACTGCAACAAAACAAGTTGCGAGAAATGAACAGATCAATTGTGTTGTAGTCTTGCAATAAACATTGTAACAGCATTGTGGGCAGTATCTGAATACCGATATGCTATAAGGAGTTCACTTATTGTTAGACCGAATTTACGTCAGTTTTATTATCAATTTTATTTCTAAAATGTTAGTATCTTTCTTGTATTAATTCGTGACGGAGGCCGAAACAACATGGTGGGTTTCCATTTGTAACGCGGGGGTCAGTGATTAGCTATTTCTGATATGTTCAGGCAGTCGGAAAGAAACCAAAATGTGTGTGCTTGGCGCGCGAACGTTTGCGTTTGCATCCATTCTTATTCTAGCATTTTGATTGTACTGGAAGCTTAGAGTGTTTGTCGACATTGTTTACCTACACCATGTTAACCGCTTATTTGATGATAAACTACATGATAAAATTTTCCTTATGTTAATAGAGAAAAACATTACGACGTAGGTTACCAAAAGGATGAAGCGTTGCTGTTTTGACGCATTGTTCTTCTTGGTAACTAATCGAGCGTGATAATTAACAGAACGTCTTACGATGTTTTTCAGAAAAATAGCCGGAGAAAAGCTCTGTTTATGCTTTTTGACGGTTGAATTCACATTGACAAAATCAAGCAAAAGCTCGAGCGAAAATCGAGATAACAAAATTTTACCTTTTTTTTCACTAACCAACCCCTATTGTCATCAACATGCGGGATCATTTTGATTGGAGATTCCTCTAACTAGGGTGAAGATAATATTCACAAATGATATTATTTCTGTGATAATTGCAGGCAATCGTCGGGTGGCATTTGGATTTCATTTTCAAGTGAAAATACTATAACTTTTTCATGAAGGCACGAAGTACGCAGAGAGTCTCGATAAAAATGCATTGTCATTCCGCAGAACGAAACGCCAAAAAGGACTTTGATTTATTGGTTATATTTATGAGTCAACTAGTAAGTACACTGAGCAACCATGTAACGGTTGTTGGTTCTGTGCAATGGGCAAACAATGTATGTTTTAAGCTTTGTATGAACTCATATGTGTCGCGAGATAAGTCTCTGAATTTTCGACGCAGCTTGCAATATGATAAGAAAATTTTTAGCGCAGGATGGTATGAAAGTTACAACGAATCAGAAAATTATTTGTTATCTCTATCAGTTATTAGGGATAATCTGTAGTCTATTGCTTACTGTTCAGGTGAAGAGTGAACGTTTCTAATTATAATTTAGTATTTTTAGGTCATTCGCTATAGTGATTTACACAATGGGAGATAGCATGTTTTATTTGAGTAAATCACGAGTAATAATTCTTGTTGTTGTTGTAGCACTTCTTCTTCTTATAGAAGGTGAGTTCGCTCCTTTTCATTGATATTAGTTGAGAAAAAAATAGGAATGAATGGTCTGGCGATTTTTAACAAATCACCTACATCAACTAAGATTTTAAAAAATGTAAGTCGATGCTCACTTCCTGTACGGTCAGTCCCACAGAGCCTTATGCGCCAGAAAAGAAAAGACGTGAGGTCCCAAATATATATATATATATAATCGCAGTTAAAATACAATGATATATAGATTATTAAATAAATATGATCAAGACAATATATATACCTGTCTTCAGCCTCTGCAATTCAGTTTTATAGAATGTAAGTTACTGAGAATGCCTTTATTAATCAATATATTTCAATATATAGCAAATGCAATTTTGCTATTAGGTCATTTTGGCCTTAGTTCTGCGCAAATCACCAAAATAACACTGATATAAAGTTAAAGTGAAGTTTCGATTTTTTCAAAGGTTTGCTCATTGGATTGGTTGCTCGACCTACATGCAATGTAGTAGTTCAGGATGAGACGACGACTAAATCTACCACCACAAAGTCATCAACCGCATCAACTCCTATTACAGAAGCACCGACGGTAAGTCTTTGCGTAACAATAATAATTATTTCTAGCGGTAAAATATATTGCTCACAGAAATTTTCAATTTTTGAATCATCGTTTCGAAGTGAGGTTATTCTATAATTCAAATAACGATATTCAGTACCTTGACCATGTTTGCAGCTTTGGTGGCACAATGCTAATTTTTTCATGAACATTGTGTTCCTACAGGGTCCTTGGACAGCGTTTAGAATTTCGCACGATCACTTACCTATCTCATATAATATTGATATTCGCCCTGTTCTCGAAATGAATGCTGATGGAAAATATATGTTTTATGGAACATCGAGCGTAACGTTTAGCTGTGAAACAGCAACGAAATACATCATTTTGCATAGCAGGTATAGACAAACACAAAACTTGCACGTTTATTATATTTTATCTTTGCCTTCACGTAGATAACTTACGTTTGCTGTCTGTGCAAGAGCAAAGCTCAACTTGGAGTAAAAGGAAGTAGAATCGGCGCTGCATACATACGTATAATCTTTTCACTAACATTTCTTTTTTCGTTGTCAACATGCTTAAAATCTATACTCTAACCATTGTCTATCTTATTTTGTGGGTATCAGTAACCTCCCAATTTTTCTTACACGATATCATCATCAAACAAAGAGTACCACATTTATAATCAATTTAACATTCCCATAGTGTGCCGGAAACAATGTGTTTTGCATTTCAGAAAATTGGTTTATACACAATCTCAAGTTACTTTGACTGAAAACGAAAATACCATCCCAATAAAAAGTATGATGTATTATCAACCAAATGAATTTATGGTATTTGAAAGTGAAAATCTTTGCGAAGTTGGTAAAATTTACACGCTGACGGTTACAAACTACGAGTCAGAACTTTCTGATGATCTGACAGGAATATATCGTAGTGAGTACTACAACCCGGCTGGCGAACTCAGGTACGTAAATAAAGTTGACAATATACTGTTGTGCATATGAAAAACCTAATTTGGACCCAAAACGAAACAGATTTATATTTCTTAGCATTTTCTACCGATATATTGAAAATTTTACTGTAAATCATGGCACTGTAAAAATTCATTTCATTTTGCAATTTTCATTTTACCAGATCTTTGAAAAATTTTATTATTTTGGATGGATTATTCAGAAGATATTTCAATGCAATTAGCGAACAACAAATTTCTCTTAGCAAACTAATAAATATTAAAATATCGTAATTGTAATACAAACTTACTCGAACAGGGTAGTGGCTGTGAGCCAAATGGAGACCACAGGAGCCCGTGAGACTTTCCCGTGTTTTGATGAACCTGGATTCAAAGCGAATTTCACCATTACTTTGTGGCACAAGGCCAATTCTGGTTATTTTGCGGTGTCAAACATGCCTGAAACATCTCACAAGGTAATTGATTGATATGAAATTTTTTTTACAAAAATTACTCACAATGGGGAAATTTTAATTAGGCGTTTTACTCAAAATATGACGTTTAGTTAGTATCTTAAGGGATGCAGTTTTGTGAAAGTGAGTTTGATAGTTTCTAAACATATACTAATTTCCCATTTCTAGTTGGAAACAATCGATGGAGATCTGTGGAATTCAACAACATTTGCTGAGACAGTTCCGATGTCAACTTATCTTCTTGCTCTTGTGGTCTGCGACTTTTCGTACGTTGAAACGAAGAGCGTCTCAGGTGTCGAGGTGAGTACTTGCTATTACGCAATAATTCGTTCATTTAATTCGATTCTTCACTCATTCGAAACGTCACGGACAAGGTTCTCTAATCGTATTAAAGTTGCCAACCTCAACGTCATAATCATGGATTTTAGAACCCAACGGAAGGCAAGAGTTGATCTCATGGTTTTTAGTTTCCCGCAAACTAGCCGAGTTCGATAGCATATGTTATTTTATGTTTTGTTTCATTTATTGTGATTTTTGTGTTAATATTACGAATGAAAATTGTCTCAAAATTTTTTCTCTATCACCATTCTTTGTTGTATATAAAAATGCATATCTTCTATATTTATTTACTTTAAATTATTTGGCAAGCTGAAAATCAGCCGGTGTGGCCTGTTGTAACTTTACTTTACCTGTCAGGCCGGGTCATTCTTATCCTGCTTGTTAGGTAAATTAATCAACGATGACCATACTAAGCAAACCATTGGTTATTGCTTTCGATAAAATCAGTCATATCTAAAGCAAAAATTATTCTAAAATCGAGTAATGTGATCGATTTACTTATTCTGTTACAGACTAGAACATATGCAAGATCCGCAGCTGTAGACAACGGTGAAGCTGAATATGCCTCAATAATGACCCCAAGAATTCTTGAATTTTTCCAAGGCTACTTTTCTGTTCCCTACCCTCTGCCCAAATCTGGTGAGAAATATATATATATAATTAACAAATTTGGAGAACCGGAGTGCTTTCATCAGCGAGTAATAAGTTCATTTATTATCATTTATTCAAAATTTCCCATCGCATCCGAGGCACCTTTTTGTCTCTGTTATATTATTATTTTTATGGGTATTTTAATGATCTTTGTATCCATGTTAGTAGACAGACCATGTTTCGTTGATAAATTTTCATATTTTAGCGGACAAGCTTTTTTTTCGAAAAAACTGATTTGTATGATGATAGTTTGCTTCACAAGTGGAACTATATTGTATGCTGTATATCCTATTAAGAAATTAGACATAGTTCGGTTGCAGGATTATTTTACTCCAGAATAGGTTAGGATACATGCATATTTTTCTTAAGATCAAGCAGCGGCCCCTGATTTTGGAGCTGGTGCCATGGAAAATTGGGGACTTGTTCTATATCGGGATGTTTATCTTCTGTATGATGAAGATACGTCGTCAGTTTTTGACAAACAGACAGTCACACGAATCATTAGTCATGAACTTGGCCATCAGGTTTGAAATGAAACAATTAACATCTTGATTCACATTATATTTTTGGCAACTAATAATGGTTAACTAGGTTTGGACTTACTTGTTGTTGTTATATGCTTTATGGCGCTTATAACTTCAGTGGTCTTTTGCGCCTTTGATCAATTCAAATTTAAAAATACTATACTAACATATAATACAATATTTACGAATAAATAATTATGCAATTGAATCAATTACAATAAGTAATTATTTCTAAACATTTCTGCCCGTAGACAAAACAAATTCGATAACAGTGTCAATAATGTCCATGTTACTAAGCACTTCTTCCAAAGTCATTTCCAATTAAAGTTTTCTGGCTTTGATAATGACTGGTCTTCTTTGATGGTTATATCGTTGACACTGCAATAGGTAGTGGGCTACGGTCTCGGGTACGAAACACTTACTTACTTACCTGAACTTACTTGGGTAAATTTTAACTAACGACAGCCCCAAGAAAAAATATTGCTTCAGATATCTGTGTGCATTCACATATTTGCATAATTTATAGATCTTCTCTAGCTTCTAAGTTGGTTTGAGTTAAATTTCGGGTTGATATTCTACACGCTATATAATCTATATGTAGGCTATCACTCAACATTGCCTTATTTCTTGAAGATGTTTTAAGTTTAGAGTCACTGCAGATTTAAATCCTCAACTACGCATGGGAAAGCAGCCTTTTTTAATTCATGAACCTATCGTATCCTGGTTTATCAGCATACTATGATATAAATAAAAATTTGACTTAATATGTATGATTGTGATATGTATGATTCATATTTTTTTTGCAGTGGTTTGGTAATCTTGTTAGTCCCGTATGGTGGGATGATCTTTGGTTAAACGAAGGCTTTGCTTCTTATGTGGAATATATCGGTCAGGTGAATGTACAACCTACGTGGAAAGCGGTAAGTATATTCCAGCGATTGAACAAACATCAAATTAATTTCCATTCTTTAGTTTTTGATTAGCTCACAATCTTGTATCGAAGCAAATGTGAACATTTGATTCATTTATTTCAGAACGAGCTGTTTGTTTCTGATGATATGCAATCTGCACTTGAAGCAGATGGGGTAGTATCGTCTCATCCTCTAGTTTATCCAGTTAATAGTTTGACCGAAATATCAGCTCAATTTGACGACATTAGTTATGAAAAGGTATGTGAAAGTGACAACATAATAACCAACGTGATAAAATTTTATGAGCTTTTCTTTTGCTGCGTTTGGTGTGCATACATTTTGCATCAGTCTGGTCGGTTGTCTCACATGACTTGCATCAATATTGGACAACCGTACACAGCTTTTGTAACAGTCAAACCTCGGAAAATTTTAATGTTCAACTAGCAATGAGCATGCTGCACTTTTCATAATATGTTCACTGACAACAAATTTGTCATTCGCTAATTTATAACTAAACAAATGTTACATAAAACACATGTTTGGGATTTGTTCCAGTCGATACTATGTGGATTTATGTTGTGATAATGATGTCATCTATTGTGATATATAACATAACAGTTTACTTTCATTTTGCAAAACAGGGAGCAAGTATACTTCGCATGATAAATTCTTTCATGGGAGAAGACAATTTTGTTACTGGACTTACGGTAGTGTACTTTTATATTGGTTGTGTAATGTTCCGAACAGTAAATTTACACAATTTTATTTGCATTTCAGAATTATCTCAACGAACTCGCTTACCAGGCTGCTACACATAGTGATCTTTTCAGATTTTGGCAAGAAGTAAGTTTAAAAGTAACTTGTATGTACACATGTCTTATAGTTTGTCGACAACGAGTTTATTTTCTATTATTTCTAAACGTCACTTGTTATAGCAAGCTGATACAGCAGGTCTGGAGTTCCCTACCACATTGACCATCATATTAGAAACATGGACGTTGCAAATGGGACATCCTGTTGTTAATGTCCGAAAGACGACAACTAACACGTATCAAGTCACACAAGAGTATTTCTTATTCGATAACAATGCAACTGTAGTACATACGCCAGGAAGTGAAACATATGGGTTAGTAAGGTTTAATTTTTGTGAAATATTTGAATCTACCATACTTTCAATTTTGCGTGGAACTGATTAAAGCATATTGACTACCATGTTTGGGATTTGCCACGATTATTTAGTACCTAATTTTTATCCTGATCTGTACGATCGAAGGCTGTTATACCTAGTTTTTTGTAATTTAATTTCTGATCAATATTTGGGCTCCAAATACTTTTTATATGCGACACTGTTTCGCCCCATTTCATCAATATCGACCGATGATATTAATTCATTAACTACAGCAAACTTTTGGGGTTGTTTCTGTTTAAAACTTACCTTTTCAGATACAAGTGGTATATCCCTTTCACTTATAAAACTTTCAATCAAATTGGAACAGACAACATGGAAGAAACTTGGTTGGAACCAAATCAATCACCATGTAAGTATATTCTTTTCTTATCAATTTTGGAACTTTTTTTACTTCTTCAATTTCTATACTATTTTTTATTTGTTGTGTTGTTTGATATGATATTACAATAAAAATCTTAAATTTATTATTTTTTTAGTGGAAATCACTGAAAGCGAGTTTATTTTGGCAAACATTAATTCTTTTGGATTTTACCGAGTGAATTATGATGAGGACACGTGGAATAAAATCATTGCAAAACTTGTATCACCATCTTTTGAAGTAAGTGTGCAAGCCAGTTTCTTGGTCAGTATATGCGACAAATTATTTATTTTTCATGTAAAATCCGTTTCGGCAATTTAGGATTAATAAATAAAAGATATATTACAGGAAATACCAGAACGAAGTCGTGCACAGATGATAAGCGATGTTTTCAATTTGGCCAGGTAAACAAGAGCAAGACTATTTAGTTGCGTGGAATAATTTCTAATTTTACAATGTTTTATAGGTAAATAGAGAATTAGTGCGAGTGATCCTTTGTTTTCAGGCCAGGGCGCTTGGATATAACATATGGAATGGATCTATCAAAGTATATGATTCAAGAACAAGAATTTGTTCCATGGAAGGTTTTCATGCAAAATGTTAAATTTTTAGAATACATGCTAAGTCGAACTCCTGCTTATGGGCAATTATCGGTAAGAACCGCATTTTTAAAATTTTCAGATCAATTCATTTGATGATCTTGAAAACTATAAATGATAGTAAAATGAATACCAAATATGTTCGTTTATGGTTCGTTATTTTAAAATGGCCTCTTTTTCGAATTGTGGTTATGCATGCATATAATTTAACCACCTCATTCCATGAATTTTGGGTTACAAATCAACTCAATCTGTTTTCTATAAACTAACGTCGATATATTTTTATCGATATTTTATCATAGCTTATTTCGTTTTTATTCAAAAATGATTCGCCGTTTTAGAATATTTAGCAACGTACTTTAATATGGTAGGTTCTTGCAAGAACGTTAACCCCAACTCGGTCGATTTTGTGCAGAACACTTTTATGTTTTAGAAACACGTTGTGGAACTCGTTGATCCATTATATCAATTGCTTGGATGGGAAGAAACAGATAAAAGTGATGCCGCTCTCATAAGCAGGTGATAAGCAGCAGAACTTTAGGAATCGTTTTCTAATACAAAAAACATGTGTCTCAATTATCAATGAATACAATCGAAATTCAGATCACAAGTCTGCTAAAATGACCGATTTTTGTAATTTTGGTGCTCACATTAAAAATGAAAATAGTCTACTTATATTTTTAATCCAGACGCAATATGAAGCTAACCATCGGTGCATCCTGTTATTATGGAAATGCGGTTTGCATCAGTCAAGCTAAGGATTTATTCAAGCAATGGATGCAAAATCCGGAAAATAACAGGTGGATATTTTTCAGGGACTATTAGTCCTATAATATTGTTGCTCAGCACGATGGCATAAAGAAAATTAGATATTAACTTACAGTAATTATATTATGCAGCATAATCAGCAGTACCTATCGCGATGACGTATACTGTGCAGCGATCCGTAACGGAGGAGTCGAAGAATGGAATTTTGCATGGCAGCGTCATGGCGAATCAACAAATGCACAAGAGCAAATAAGCCTGCGGTAAGATGGTTCTCCTTTAAATAAATAAACGTAAGAATTAGGACAAAATCTTTCACCTCAGGATAACTTGATATTTTGCAGACGAAAATTCAAAAATATTTTATATTTTTTTGAGTATTGCATTTCAAAAAAAATAAAATGCAATGAAGTTTGGTTTGTGAGTTTCTTATTTATTGGTAAAAATTAGTGTCATAATTATTAAAACCATGCTTAATAATAGATACGGGATGTCATGTAGTAAAGAACCCTGGATTCTGACACGATATATGGAATACTGTATTGATCCTACTGTCATAAGAACACAAGACACTTTCAGAAGTTGTATGAATTATATTGGAGGGGAAGATTACGGAAGAGATTTAGCATGGGGATTTCTGGTGGAAAACTGGGATGCTCTTGTTAATGTGTAAGTACACGAGGAAAAGTAGAAATCAATCAATAGAAATCAATATAGATAATAGTTGCATATCGATATGACTATAATTTGAAAGCCGCCCAGGAATTTCGCACAAGATTTCTACCTAGTTACTTCAAACATAGTACTAATGCGGTTACTTATTTCTACTGTCTAACATAAAATAATAAACAAGACCAAATATAAAAAAAAATATTTTATATCCATATTTCAATATTATTGTGACCGTAGCAGAAAGCATTATCATTCGAGGAATTGTTAGTAAAAATGTATTCCCTTTTTCTTATGATAGGCATGGTGGATCGTCGCGTTTTTCGAGATTGATTGATTCAATTTCTAATCGACTTTCGACAGAATATGATTTACAGTTGGTAAGTAAAATATTTCAATTAAATGTTTTATTTATACCATACTATTTTACAATGGAGAATTCCTCTACTGGTGTTTATTTTGTCATTACTATTGATATTTTCCATTTTTTAGCTGGAGAATTTCAGAGACGGAAAGAATAACCTGGGATCAGCTTCTCAGTCTATTGATAAAGCAATAGAAAGAACAAAACTAAACATAGCTTGGAGAGCAATCAACGAAGAAAAAATTACTGCTTGGTTGGCTACTAATGTTTAATTAAGAAAAATAACTAACTGGCATCAATAAAGAAAACTTTACAGTACAATTTGAGCTGTTTTTTAATTTGTAAATAATGAATATGCAATAAAATGAATAAGAATTTCGATCATTTTATTTTCCATAAAAATTTCCAATAGTGACTACCAAAAATATGTATTCCAATATCAGCATCGACACACAAAAATGGATGAGAGAGCAACGGAAACACGAAACTGCATATTATATTATTCAGATTGAAATTTTCAGCTTTTTTGGCAGTTACGCAGTGAGAAACCAAACTATGCAGAACATGTTATTACAAATTGTAGACAATGACACAAGTTAGTTGAGAAGTAAATCCTTCATTAGGCTGGGAACAGTTATATGCCAAAACCTCTCAATAAATGGCAATATAGTTAGAGACCAGATTGAGAAAGCAGTTTTGAATTCGCAATTGTGGAACCCAACGTTGCATGCTATTAGTAGTCAACTGGTAACATGATGAAATAAAATTTAGTCGACGACGTGAAACATTCGGGACCTGTGTCGTTTACTTTGTTGAGTGACGGCTGCCTACCTCAGTCATATATACGTGATCTTTGTACAACATTCATCGCAATCACCAAATTTCTCAAATGTTGGTATCCAAGTACAATTTTGAATTGACTTCACTGTTCCATACTTTTCACTTCGCATGCGTGAATATGATAGCCTGTACAGCTAAATATCATTGGAATGAACAAATTGCTAGCTAGCAGTATAGATACCAGAAAAAGGTTGAGTCGTTTTTGTTGCCTAATACACGTCATCTTATAGCAGTTGTTTTCTATGAGCATCAGTTATTAATGAGGCCACAAGGTCTCCTAGTGAAGAGCACAACACTAAATTAGTAAATTCGCAAGCGACAGTTTTTGTGCCCGGAGCTTCAGTGGCGCTAACAAAATGGTTAAGGTTGCTCAGTCAGATATCGCTTGACGCGATCAATAGAAAGTTCGTTGAAGAAACTGCATATTTCGCTATCGACCTACTGTTTACAATTTTACATGGTTTTTATTTCATTTTTTTTGTCTGAAGTTAGGATTCCTAATTCGCGAGTCGAGACGATAGCACATTCGACAATTAGTCTGTAGGTACATATTGTATTGCGAATAATGTGTTTGTTTATTGTAAAAAGTTCAATAGATTAAGCTATTGACTCTTTGATGGTTAATCGCCGTGGTATAACATAGCATCGTTCGCTTTTTTCATTGCGTACAGTTCAGTATGTGCAGGCCAGTCCCTTATTCTATGCAGTAGAAGGTCCAAGGAACTGTATAATTATATAATTTAGAATACCCGATTATGCTCAATTGTTGAGTTATGCTCAATTAAGATATATATATCTAATATCGTATTTCAACATGGAAAAGGTTTGAAAATGCTTCATGCTGATGTTTTCGCCCGAGGTGTAAAATTAAAGACGACATTGATTTCGAACCTATATTTTAACACTGTCTGTCAATGGTTTATACTCGCAGAGTAATTTTAAGAGTAGTCATCTTTGTCAAACATTGATGTGACTTAGGAAGTGTTGAGTTAGCTAGTGTGAATGCATTGCGATTGACCTTCTATCGTTGCGTTGTTAGCTGTACCTCATGTTCAACTATTCTTCTTTTCCCATAATATAGTATAGTCTGCTTGCTAGAGTTCGTAATCCAAGGCTTGGATTCCGAGCTTACAAAAACAAAATGTCAACAAAGAATGAGTTCCATTTTAAAGGATCGCAAGTCATTATAATGTCAGTCGTTGTTGTTATGCTTCTTGTCGCCGAAGGTAAGTCATGGAACCAACTTTTGGAAAATGCTATGATGCGGTTTCTATCGCTGAAAGTCTGTGTGGGCTTTATGTCACATTTCACATATGCCATAAAACATGTTAAAACGAATATATAGAGGTATATCATCTGGAACTATTACAATATGTCATGTATAGCCTATAGCATTAAATTTGGTAACATACAATTGCATATAATATATACACCTATTTTTATCTAATTAGGTCATAAAGAAATACTTGCATAACTATATTCCCATGAAAATTTTCAGGCTTATTGATTGGTTTACTAGCACGACCACAATGTGAAAACGAAGTCATAACTCAACATACTACTTCCAAGCCTTCTTCGCAAACAACGCAATCCACCAACGTGGTAAGTGACGACGAATAATTATTATTAATGTTTGACTTTCCATCAATATTTTGTTCCTTTTCTACATACAAATGCACGTCCTCGTTTACCGTTTACTTACTTCCCAGAGCTGGGCCGTGAACTGTTTTTATTTTTACAACAGAATCGCTTATAAACTTTAGAATTAACGGGATCCGACCATTTAAAAAAATATTGTCCACAACCACGCAGACATGAACTTCAAATGCAATATTTACGAAATTTAGCAAAGTTATTCATCGGTCGGTCGTTGGCGGAACGTATTATCCTCTTTTTGTTAATTTAAATCTCGGTTCGATAAAGGGAAATCAAGTTGAAGGAATTTCATGCACTCCTGATGCATAATAATATGTAATATAATATACTAAATCATATATAAAATATTTTAACTTTCCTCAAGTAGACCTGCAAATGTGTCTATTAAAGTGATCATTCGAACATCATAAGACCCGCGCGCTGAACCAGTGCGATAAGCGAATTAATCTAAGTTAGTGCGAATAACTCAAAGGTTGATAACAATGTTGTTATCACCCCTCACTACTTGTTCATACAAGCAAGAAAATAAATTTATAAATTAGCAAAAATGACAGTTACATATTTTTGACTACACCTTACGACGACGTACCCGCAAAATGACATCGGTCATGCAAAGCGACGCAAGCTGTGAGATGCAATTGGTTTTGCGGAGGTTGAATCGAAAATTCGCCATTGAGTGTTTAGACTAGAGGCCTAGAGATGCGTTACGTTTTATGTAATATTAGGTTAATTTTTGGACCATGGCCTAGTATAGAATAAATTCTAAATCCTAAAACATTTTTCATGAGTTCGAAAAAGTAAATTATTTGCTACATTTTAATTGTTAATATATAAATGTCGGTGTTGTTGTTTTATTGAATGCAGTGAACAGTTCAGTGATTGAAATTACTCTTTCGTTTTTGTTCGTTTTGAAAACACGTATTTGATGTTTGTGGCCCATTTAAAAAGAATTGTTATCGTTGAGAATGGAAGTTTCGGAACTCATTTTCAATGGTTTGAAATTAGACATAGAACGATGAATTTATTTCAGATTCAATAATAGGAATCTAAAATATTCAAAAAGTAAATTTAAAACGGCGGGCTCTTTAGATACGTATGTCGCCAAAGTGGTTTTATGTTTCCAATTTGTTTTAGGATTTTTTTTGGAAAAAAATCAGAAATATTCTAGTTGAACATTGATTTCAGGAATAATAAATCTTCAAGTTTGAGGTACCACAGTTCTTTAGATGATGATGCTGATTCTTTGCTAATATTTAACTGCATATTTCGCTGAATTTAATAGACTGTCTCATTGTGCGCATGGTGTGTCTACCAGTTGAGTGCAGTGAGAGACTTGACAAACGTTTTTCAAAGCGTTTTGGTGGTAAAATGTGTGTTGCTGAATGTAAACTACCTTTACCCATATCTACAGTAATCACGCAATCTCAAATGAATGCGCAGGTCATAGGGCTAAAAAGACGCGACAGAACAAAGTGTCTCCACCATCCCTACTTTCCCTAACTTGAGCTACATAATTCAAAATATGGCGTTATATTGTCATGTTTATTTCAGATTCCCGATGATGACTGGCGACTGCCCAAAGATCTTATACCAATGTCGTACCAAGTTGAATTGAGGCCGCTGTTTGATCCCGATGAGCAAGGAAGATATTTATTCTTCGGTTCTTCAACAGTGGAATTTAAATGTAACAAATCAACATCACAAATAAAAATGCACAGCAGGTGAAAGATCCAACAAAATATTTTTCATCTCCCAATTGGGATAAAATCGGGTTCAAAATACCCTAACCGTGACTTGCTCTATGTTTTTAAATGCTATTTATTTCAATAATGTGTTTTTTAACGAATGCCATTGCAATCAAACATCATTTTGAAAACTCTCAGGTTGTGTTTCAAATTGACAGAATTTAAAAACTCTGACATGGTTGAAAGATTACAAGTTGTTTTCGTAATATATAGCATTCATGTTTTTCTGGTATCTAAGCAGTTATTAAATACATATAACGCCCATTTATCGTTTGTTTTTGATGAAATATTAATTTATTTCAGTCGATTGAATTATACGACCGAACAAATAAAACTCAGCGATTCGGAGGGGAATGTTATCGATATACTCCACATGAAGTTCGATTTGATAAAAGAGTTCGTCACGTTTGAAATTGAATCAGAGTGTAAACAAGAAGAAGATTACACTTTGACTTTTGAGGAATTCATTTCAGAAATGAGCTTGGATCTGACTGGTTTATACAGAAGCTATTACACAACAAGCGATGGGGAAGAGCGGTACGTTATATAGATTACGTGAAAATGATATAAATTATTTTCGCATGATAAGCAAAGTTTTGAAAAATGTTGATGTATTCAATATATGATATAGTTTGAGTATATGTAATGCAATAAAAACTCGAAATTTAACGAGTCGAGAAGGGTTCCATGAAAGTTTATAAATGTTGAAATAATGCTCTACTATTAAATACATACAGTCTGGGAAAGCCCATCACTCACATATTGTAATGTAGCCTATTTTACTATACTTGAGTTGCACAAAGAAATCCGCTTTTTAATCTTACTTTATAATAAATAATAGAGTATAGTTTCCATTTTGAAAGATTCCCTAACTTTTTTTTTATCTGTGTTAATATAGAAAAGTATGCTTTAAAAATTGGTCATATCATGGGATCTTTCATAATCTTTCAGCAAGAAAAAGTAACAAATTTTATATTTTAAAGTATGATCGTGATAAGTCATATGTGGCCCACGAACGCAAGAAAAGTGTTTCCGTGTTTCGACGAGCCTGCATTGAAAGCGAAATTTTCGTTTACTTTATGGAGCAGGGCAAATAGTGAACTGTTTGCCATTTCAAATATGCCGGCCTTATCGTACCAGGTAATCTAATTACTTTAAAATAGAGCAATGGGTTATACTGGTGTATTTGCAAAAGCAATGGCTTTGTGGTTAGTGCAAAATTAATTCGTTAAAATTATATCAAAATACCTGATATGCGTTTTTGCTCACTCCATGTCAACTACCCGTGTAATTAAGTTCAGAGAAGGATTTGTTTTAAATGCTACTTGTGCGTAGAAATCATTTACTTATGTAAATGACTAACGCGATCAGATTCTATCTGTTTAATGTCAATGTATGGATGTAGTTCGCATGAATGTGGTATCTTTCCGCCCAATGCTTGTTGAAACATAAAGTTCTCACTGTTTTGCAACCAACTTCCTTCAACGCTACCAGTATATGCCGCGCTGAACTGCTCCGAGTTCCCGGAGCCTCTGAAAACTCGGAAGTCGATTTTCTGATTTCAAATTTTGTTTTTCCGAGAATACATGAAAATTTGACAATCACATGCGCATCCCGTTTTTGTCACACATAGTAAAAAAATTATTTTACCCTTTGAATAAATTGAAAGAACGAATTGATTTTCAAAGCGGTAATCCAATTGGCCTTTTTAACATAGTACCATAAATTTATCAATTATCGACCTGACAATATTATTCATTGACAAACAACAGACCAAAGAATTTGACGGAGAGCTTTGGAATGCAACAATATTTGCCGAATCATTGCCGATGTCAACATATTTGATAGCTCTTTCGATTTGTGATTATTCGTTTGCAGAATCATTGGGAACAAACGATGTGAAGGTAAGTTTTGCAATAGAGAGTCTTACACTCTATGGCTTTGAGGGCTAAATTTGGACTTCATCCATATGAAAGCATACGCGCAGTGCTGATATTTAATTCGATTCGCGCAAGATAAACGTTTTTATGGAGTCGCCTGAAATTTTTTTTTTATTGTTTATATAAGCAGAAACGATTTGTTTTACTTTGTGTTCTGCACCATCATATTTGGAAAAAGCAGCTATTTTTATTATTTGCGGCTCCGACAACCTTTATGTATACATACTTTCTAAATTTTGAAGCGCATTCTGATATTCATAACAACTTTGTACAATTATAAAGTATTTATACATATACATACATAGTATATATATATATAATATCTACACGTATATTCGTATGCCCATATCTAGGATATATATTCATATGAATCAACTTCAAAGACCACCAACTTTACTGAATTCATCTACCCTATAGTTACGTTATTTACTTACCTCACACTCCATTGAAGTTATTTCTCTTTTTGTATTCTATGGACAGACAAGAACATATGCTAGAGCCGAAGCTGTGGCGAATATGGAAGCAGATTATTCAGCAGATATTGCTGCAAAAATCCTAGATTATTATGAGGCATATTTTTCGGTGCCATATCCACTTCCGAAGTCAGGTATTTTCGTATTTCAAATTCAATGGCTGAAATCTTGTGACAAGACGCTAATCTCATATTGAAATTACCTTCATTCGCGTTTCATTCTATAATTATTGATATGAAGAAGATAAACATAAATGTGATTAGCTACTTATGCTAGAATGGCTATTATAAATGCTCTTACATATTTCTACATGCGAGGCAATGTTGTGAATTTATGTTCAATATGTTTAGACCACATGGGTGTTTCTGATTTTGACGCCGGAGCTATGGAAAACTGGGGATTTATTTTGTATCGAGAGGTATATTTACTTTATGATGAAACTTTGTCATCAGTATTTGATAAGGAGAAAGTCACAAATATTGTTGCACACGAATTAGCTCATCAAGTAAGTACATTTACTGAAAAATGTTAATTTGCTTCAATTTTATTGTATTTGGAATAGTTAAAAGTATAGTCTTATCGTAGTTTAAAAAAGGGTTTTTGAAATAGACCACCCGATTGTTTTTGAGTCTTATTGCATTTGTAATCAGAAGCGGAACATTTGTCAGTGAATCAATTATCAGATCAGAGTAATATTTATACAATTTCAGTGGTTTGGAAATCTTGTTACTCTGTCATGGTGGAATGATGCTTGGCTCAATGAAGGTTTTGCTACCTACGTATCGTATTTAGGAGAATCTGAAGTTCAGCCAACATGGAAGTCGGTAATATATATACAATTTTGCATGAGAATACACAAATATATTCATGTATATAGCGAAAGAAAAACCACCGGAGACTGCCTTTAAAAATTTTCCACTGAAGTTGTCTTTTTGTCAACCAAAATTGTTTAATTAGATGAATTTAATTAATAGTCGATTCTCGTCGGAATGAACAGACTGAATCCTACCGGGACTAGTGAAAATATAGTCCTTTACACACAAACCTCCATCTCCCATCACGATTGAGAAACCCTCACTAAAGTACGGAGATTCAAAATGAAGAATAAATGAAGTATGGTCTTATGAGAAACTCTGTGATCATCTGGTGTACATGCTATTCAGCAGTGTTTCCCAACCCGAGTCCGCGGTCTCAAATAAGTCCGCGGAGCGTTTGAATGAGTCCGCAACAAGCCAGAAATTCAGTCATGTTGCGATTTACGTTAGAATTTACATAGGTCATAAAAAGCAAGTTTAGTAACATAACATTAATCGAGTCAATAATTACTGGTTACTGAGTATATCTGGGCATATATATTCGAATATTCAACTATTAGAATAGCAATTTACTATTCGAAAATTTGGTAACAGGTGACGCGATAGGTCACTTGCGCTCAATCAGACGATTGGATTTCACGGTGACCGTGCATTTGAACCCACGGACATTTGAACTCATGTGTATATCTGCGGGTTCAATCTATATGCGGGTGCTAAAATCCATGGGTTAGGGTTAGTATGGGTTCAAATATCCGTAAAACAAAACAAAAAATTTTTATAGGTGCAATAGTATGCAGGTGCAATTGTCGTGGGTTCAAATGTACGTGAATTTAAATGTAATGGGACCGGATTTCACATCTCACTTTCTGATTTCCGACGAAAATACGAATCTGCACACGCTTCGATAAATACCTAAATGGTGTTTCTCGCGAGTTCTCACAACGAGAAAATTTTTTTTTTCTGGTTGGTGTCAATGGTGGCAACCCAAATTTTCTAAATTGAAAAGCGGCAATACAAAATACTAAAAATAAAACGAAGAAAACCAAGTTTTGTTTTATGATGGTCCGCGACCGATTAAAAACGCTTTTTTGACATTGCAAATCGCAAAATTTTGGATGCTACCGTACCCGGGCATTTCCTCTTAGGATTCTTTGCTTTACTGCCGCCACATTGAATACGTATACGGTACTGCCGTATGTGTTGTACGAACAGCTCAGATTTGACGAATTCACAAAAATACGAATCAAAACAAAATATAATCGGGCACTTTACCACCCATTTTAGTGTTCACGGATTGTCATCATATTTTCTGAGTAGTATTGCTATTATTTCGTCAACACAACCGCAGATTAAAATGATCACAATAAAATTAATAATAAACCATGGCAATGAATATGTATTTTTGATTTACTAATATACTTTAAATATATTTTTAATCAGTACTAAATCAAGTTGTACTTTCTAAAAATTTATAGCAGATAGTAGGATTTTTCTAACGTCGATAACAAATTAGCAAGATCGCAAAAAATATGTATCAAAACTAAGTATAATCGGACAATATATTCTCACATTATTATGTTCACAGATTGCCATTGTATTTTAGAGAAGTAATGCTTTCATCTTGTCGTAATTCGACGCAACCGCGAATTATCATGAACACAATTCAGTTAAAATAGGAATACATCTTAAATTCTCGTCGTTGTCATGGATTGAATATTTTGCGACAGAAAAGGCCATTGTTGAAATTCGTTAAAATTCTGTTGTGTTCGGTTTTATTGCCTGTTCACACAGAGTATACGGTTGCAATAAACGCACCTTGAGTCCGCAAGGGGTTTCGCCCGTGAGAAGATAGTCCGCGACCAAAAAAGGTTGGGAAACACTGTGCTATTGTGTCAGTCAATTTATTTTCTATATAAAAATCTTTTGCAAGTCCTACTGTTTATTAACTTGTATATATTTTATAACGCTGTATCATTCTTGCTATTCGTTTTGTTTTCCAGAAAGATAGATTTCTTCTCGATGAACTTCATGCAGCTTTTGATATTGACGCTCTCACTTCTTCTCACCCGCTAGTTCAAGAAGCAAACACTCCAGATGAAATCACGGCATTGTTTGACACAATTAGTTACAGCAAGGTAGAAGATTGTTTATTTGTTTCTATTATATATTTGCATTTAATAGAACAGATATCAACTTAGGATGAAAACCTTTATCTCCCTTTTGAGGGGAACAATTTAAATGGCGATTGAGATGCTTATCAATATTCTAAACTTCCCAGCGATATTCTTCGAAGTTTCGACTAAAGTTCGAATTTCATCATAAAGTTGTTTAAAATATGTTACGAGTCTGACATTGATATGATACATTTTCCCAATATCCATTAATAAGATCTTCGTTTAAATAACAGTCGGCTTTTATTATTTTGATTTTGAATTCTATTTTAGGGTGCCAGTATTCTACGTATGATAAATGACTTTATGGGAGAAGAAAATTTTGTACTTGGGTTAACGGTAAGTAAATAAACAATATAGAACATAAATGTTGTATGATTGCTGTCGCATTCTTAACATTATCTCAAGTTTCCATCAAAAACAAACAACAAAGTCATTAACAATCATTCGCAAATTAACTTTGTATCATATTTCTTGCTATTTGTTACAAAGAGAATTCAATTTTTACAAATTCATTCAACTCGTTTCGATTTAATATGTGACAAAATACATTGTTTCACACAGAATTACCTGAACGATCTTTCATATTCATCAGCAACACACTTGGATCTTTTTCAACATTGGGAAGACGTAAGTTGGAAAAATAAATCGAATACAATACTCAACAAACGCCTTTTTTAACGTGAAGTACTGTAAAAGCCATAGTGATAATTTTTTAATATATGGGTGATACTAGAAATTAAAGTATGTCTACTATCCTGTTTTAATCATATCGTTACATCACAGCAAGCAGCTGAAGCAAACTTACAATTTCCAGTAAGATTATCAGAAATATTGAAAACATGGACATTACAAATGGGATATCCTGTCGTTAACGTCGAAAAATCTTTAGCTCTGAACAGATACACAATAACGCAAGAGTATTTTCTCTTGGATCCATCTGCAACAGCAGTAGAACCTGATAATGATCTACTATATAAGTAAGTTTTTATTTCTTAAAAATATTATCAAATAAATGGTTGATTATTAAATCATTGCCGGCACCTATTTCACAAACTTTGCAACTACAGCAAAAATCAGGGGTATCCCCATAGAGGAGTGTGTGCGATTGATTGACAACAGATACAAGTCTGTCTCCAGCCGAGGAGGTCATTTGGAACTTATTCTAGAGAATACATAATTTTCGTGCAAAACGACTTAGATTACTGAAACTTGAGTTTTTGCTAACTCTGTAGGCTACTTGATATCACTCCTTGGCATATTTTATCTTTAATCAGGTACAAATGGTATATCCCGTTTTCATATAAAAGTTATTCACAAATCGGCACAGAGGATTCTACTAGAATTTGGTTACCTTCAATACAAGAAACGCAGGGTGAGATTTTCCTCATTTGTCAATTATTATGTTGTTATCGTTTGATAACCGTGCACTTGTGTTATAGTTTAATGTTTCACAGTATATACGAATCGCTTTCTTTGTTGGTATACGATTAACTGAGACCACCTGAGACCTGAGGGTATGGCCCGCAGGTCGTATGTTGCCAGCCGCTGGTCTACAAGAACGCCAAAGACGTTGTGGATATCATATAGTACAAATAATTTACCTTACTTCCTTTAATCAAAGTCCAAGCAGTCTGCTTTCACTACCGTCAGTAACCGTCCCATTTATCGCAAAAATTCTCCCAGCTTTTTATTGTCCCCTTCTAACAAACTAAATTAGTCTGACCGTTCCACAGCAGTTTTTCAAATATTACTTTTGATCATAAAAAGCTCAAGTATTAAAAAGCTCAGGTAAACCTAACAGGGTCGGATCCCCTCTTTTGATTTTCTGTATCATATATACATAGCAATGATTCGTAGTTTGTAACGCTTTCAGACCCTCAAGGCTCTGGAAAACCCATGTTTCCCGGACCCGCTAGTTGTTGCGTTCTAACTTTGCAATTATAAATTTCAGACCCCTCCACCAACCCCACCCACTCACCCCCCTATCCCCCCTTTGAAAATTCCTGGCTTCGCCCCTGAAACCTAACAAGTGTTTGATTATATTTAAACTTTATACATATATTAATATTAACTCTCGGATTCGAATGAAAACTTGCGGAATGCTTGAAACTTCCAGGACCAAGAATCCATTCGGTGTCAGAATCTACTAATTTATGAAATTTTAGAATATTTCTAGTTAGGTAGAGTTTTCGAAAACTATAACGCACGCTAGACGAAATAGTGGGAACTAGACTTATTTAGAATATCTCTGAAATAATGAATTAGCTAGTAGAACTATTGCTAAAGGCCCTACAAAAATAGAAACACGTGATTAACTTGGAACGTGTGGGAAATACTGAGTTAAAATGACCGACACACATATTTATGCTTCGCTAGAGTCAAATATCATGAATTGTAAAACTTACTTTCATTAAATACCGATAGAAGAAAGCAACCTTTTGCAAACTTTTTTAAGTGACCGTAGAAGAGGAATATTACTTGTTAGCAAACATCGATGCTATGGGTTATTACAGAGTAAATTATGACAGAGGAACATGGTCGAAACTAACGACTAAACTCAAATCAAAGTCATTCCAGGTATATAATCCCAATATATTTACGTTACTATGAACTATTTTCTAACGTAAGATCAAAACCCCGCATAAATGCCGATAAAACACTTGAATAATAGTTACAAGCCACTACTGAAGCTAATCAAAGATCAATATATTGACTTATATGTACAGGAACATATCTTTATAGGCTACCTGCAATAAGACTTAGATAACCACAATCTATTTTCACGTAAACACTTAGTAGTGAAAGTAGAGGCAATCTGAATATAACTAATTTACAGAAACAAATAATTTACTTCCGGGGTTTCCAACCAAGCAATTAGTGTGGATATGTTGCAATAACCGGATTATGAAAGAGGAAATAAATTATTTAAATTTATCAGGAAGGAATTTTAATCTTCCTCAAATATTTTTTAGGACATTTTGTCAAAAAACAGAGCGCAGTTATTGGATGATGCTTTCAATTTGGTAAGGTAAGTTTTGAAATTTAGAAAATCACATCAGGCCTATTTTCGACTGGTCGAAATAATCTCATTCTATAACGATAAGGTATTATTGCTGCTAACACCTTTCATTGTTTTATCAAGCTGGACTAAAGTCAAATCCTACTTATTAGACTAAATACAAACACTACGCGGCGCTTAGTCGAGCTGTCACCTAGCTTGTGATGATACGATGATAATGCCAAAACAGATTCCCAGGTTATGCCTTTTCAAAACACCTGAAGCTAGTACTACGTCACTAATTAACAACCCTCGAATGACAACAGGGCGGGATGCCTCATCTCATCCCCGTCGGTAAATTAGTAATCAATTAATGAGTCATCAAGTACAATTATATATTGTAATCAGTATATATAATTAGTGTGAAGCCACAATTACGCGATGTATATTTAGATTATTGAAGCTGGTCCGATTGCTGAAATTTTTCTCGGCTAGTACGTCAGTGAATGTAATAACAAAATATACCAATATTAGGCATTGATGTTCGAGTTCAAAAAAGTGAATAAGAAATAAATTCCATTCACAATATTTCAGAGCTGAACGTCTGGACTTAACAACTGCAATGGAGTTATCAATGTATTTATCAAATGAGCAAGAATATGTGCCATGGAATAGTTTTCTAGCCTCGGCTAAATACATGGAATATCTGCTGAGTCGTTCATCTTTGTATGGAATGTTCAAGGTTACCCTACTTTCATTTATTCATTTTAATCGTACAATTCTGAAATCTGTCTTGTAAGACTGTGGGTTGGGCAATTCGTGCTATATGGCATATGTAAAGCATGTAACCCGAAATGGCAAATGTTTTTATTTTGGGTGTTCAATATAACCTGTTATCGTCAATCAGATTTTCCTTGAAATAAGACGAACTAGTCAAACGCCTGCTTAATCAGCCCATGGTTACACGAGAAAAGCAGACTGTGTATGGTGGTTCAGCCAATAACAGCATCTATATTTCAATAAAATAATGTGCGCCGTGACTTTGATTTACATATTAAGATTTAACAGTGTGCAGCTCATAGCAACAAGTCGAATCTTCACGCCAATCTTTTATCTATTCATCACACTTTGTTTGTCCTGTTTCGACATGCCATTGTTTTTTCATTAACTTTGATAACAATGGCGTGGTAGCTTAATATTAACAATGATTTTAATTAATAAATTACAAAATAAAAACAGACCTATTTGTTGAAACTTGTCGAACCAACTCTGTACGATTACTATGGATGGGACGAAGAGAATAAAAACGATGATGCTCTTTTTGAGAGGTGAGGCTTAACATTTTTGTTCATTATTATTACAATGGTCACCTGTCTGGGAAACAAACAAAGTGTCCGATGCTGTTCTTTGTTTGTACCTTCCGCACTCTATATTGCCATTGAAGACCATAGATACTCGATAGTTTTGGTAATATGCAATACATATACAGACAAAAATATGCTTCAACCGCCAACCCAATATATATATATATACAGCCATTTGGGTGATGCACAAACACAGCCATAGTCTCATATGCATGCATATGCTGTACCAAGCGGCTGCCTCTACAAGTGTACATGAAGACCCAAAACAGTTAATAGCTCATATGTTGAGTGCGTTAAAAACGCTCACGGGAATGGCTTACAACATATGTAGAGTAGATGTAATAATATACTATGATATAAGCATCACCCTACATGTTGTTTGCGCATACAGGTACATAGAATATGCCACAACTCGTGGTACATGAATATGTACAATAGGTTGCGATTTATGTTGTTATAATGCCCAACAACAGCTGATCGTTCAACCTTAGACATGTGCCTGGCCAACAACGACATTGGTAAGCTTTCGGCGAACCAATCAAATAGAGTTTAGTGCAAACTATCATTACTCACATCGCATTTTGTTTAATTTAAAAACAGTGCCGGATATTTGGACACAAAATGTATATATGGATCGTTTTGCTAATATGTGGTTGATGTTGTTCTTGTTAAACACTAACCTATGGATCGTTTTGTTATTATGTTGTTGTTCTTGTTGGTATTTTTATTCGCATCGTTATGAAAAAATCGCTTTTCTCTTTACCTACGGGACCAATTGCTTTGAAATTTTCAGTGGTTAAAGATTGTATTTTCTGCTAGAAGTCTATCACTTTTATCACTGTATCACTGTATGTGATTCGTTTTTAACTTCAAAATTTTGTGCGAGGACCTCTTCCAAAATTAATAAAAATTATTTGTAGCGATTCTGCGACCTCTTTCGTGCTACGCGAAAATCGGAAGTTTTTAAACCATACCGTATTGTAGTTTAGGTAAGATAGTGTATAAGGTAAGGTAGACTACTGCTTCGTCTTTGGTTTCGTGTCCATATATTTGAGCATCCCTCTCTTGTTCTTGTTAAAATTTCTTTATTCTGTGTTTTTATGAAAAAATCGCCGTTTTTCTTTTATTTATCGAACCAATTACTTTAGAAATTTAAGTGTTTAAAGAATGTTTTTGTCGATAGAAGGCTTACAAAATATTTCTCCCATAATTCGTCAACAGACCCTGCCTCATCATGCAAAAACAATATGGCAATGCTTTTTAAATTAAACAAAATGTAAAGTGAGTAATGATATTTTGCACCGAACTTTAATCAACTTTTTTGCCAGTTTACAAGCGGTTGATCTTTATATATCCTAATGCGTATATCCTACGTTGCATGTAGCTTATAAAATCCATTGGCAGTGTATGTACATTGAGAGAATGGCTGTATACGTATAATAAGTTGGCTTCATATCCCATTGACTGATATTTTAGTATGCACATTACTTACATGGCTGTATAATTATATTGGGTTCTCTACATGTGCATATGATATTGACAGTGTATGTACATTACTAAATAAAATTATATGTATATTGAATTGCATGTATATGCATATAAAATTGACTGTTGTGTATTGATTTGGCTATATATGCATGAGAAATTTTGTATGTACACCACCATGTCTGTATATGTATGTTAAGTAAACTATGCATATATATGACATTGGGTGTGTATGCACATTACTTGAATGGCGGCATATGTATATTGAATTGGCTGTATATGCATATTTCATTGGTTTTTGTATATTGATTTGGCTATTTGTGCATATGACATTAGATTTCTATGTGCATAACTTGCTGCAATATGATAATGGCTGTATATTTATATAGAGTTACCTGTTTAAGCATATGGTATTGGCTATGTATGTACATTTAATTGTTGCATAGATGTTTTGAGTTGGCTGTATATGCATATGACATTGACTTTTGAGTGTACATACCTTAAATGTAAATATATAGTGTTGACTATTCATGCATGCATGATATTGGCTATCTTGAATTGCTGTATATGTATATTGAATTGGCTGCATATGCATATGACATTGGCTGTTTATGCTAATTTGGTTGTCTCTATATGTATATGATTTAGCTGTATATGTATATTTTTGTCTGTATATGTATATCACGCACCTGCACTCTACGCACGCTGCCTTTACATGATTCAATCATGCAACATCGCCATGTCAGTGGTTAGTGTACAACAATCAAGCATGTAAGACAACAAATTAACAATCTGGCAATCACCTCTCAATTCGGCGAGTTACTAATCAGTATGCAGTTTGTACCAATTGAATACAGCTATAATACAACAGATGTAACACACTACAATTGTCATTTCGAAGTCAACTTAATTTAATTCAGAATGACAAGACAGACGGGCATTAAAGCCGCATGTTATTACGGAAGCCACAACTGCATAAATAACGCGACGGCATTATATAGGATGTGGATGGATGATCCAACTAATAAAAGGTGAGACAGGATAAAATTCGAGATAAAGCTTGGAGAGAAATGTTATACACTCACATCCTGTGAATCAGATTGTCGTAATATTAATAAAAAAATGAATTAAATCACAAACTTTATCTTTACACAGTATAATAAGCAACACTTATCGCAGAGATGTATTTTGTGCAGCAATACGCGATGGGGGTGAGAAAGAGTGGCAGTTTAGTTGGGAACAACATCACGTATCCACCAATGCACAGGAACAAGACGATTTGAGGCAAGAAATCTTACTCAAATTTTAAAGCAAACAACAATGTCGTCACATGTTTATCCAAGAAAATTTTAAAACTTCTAAACGTATTAATAATATAAAAAACCTTACGGTTAAACTTAGTGTGCCGTAGAACTTTTAATCGTTTCGATTTATATATGCAGCTAATGAACTTTGCGGTAGATTATACGTTGAGCGTCGTTAAGCGAATGCACACATATATATATAATATAGATTTTAACTAATCTGTTAAGTTACGAAATGGCTTGGTGGCTAGGAATTACTGTTGATTTGACATATTATGTTGTAATGGGCAGCCCACTAACATTTTTTCCTCTAGTGCTATTCCTATTGATTTCTTAAAGATACGGCATGGCATGCAGTAAAGAATCTTGGATTTTATCAAAATATACGAAATATTGCGTAGACTCCAACTTGATTCGTGGACAAGATAGCATTCGTTCCTGCCTCGGTTACATTGCAGAAGAAGAGTACGGTAGAGATGTTGTGTGGTCTTTCATGGTAGAATCATGGGATGATTTAGTTGATAGGTAAGAAATAAGAATATTATTCCTTGTTTTTTTCTAAATTTGTTTTGTTTGCATACCAACATTCATGGCTACGCCACAATTTGCAACTGAGGAAAAATTGTGCTACATATTATTTGACTTAATTATTTGTTTCAATACAGCTATGGAGGTGGAATAGTATTCAAAACATTGATAGAATCTGTCACGAAAAGATTTTCGACTGAATATGACCTGAATTTGGTGAGTGGAAATGTAACAAAAATGTGATAAAAATCACGATTTATTTGGGAAAATTATAATTCAATAAAATCTATTCTTCGACAAAGTTTTTTTTTTCGCCAATACTGCAGTTTTATTCTTCTCTCAACTAACAACTCTGTGTTCATAGTTATGTTGAAAAAAAGAAATTGCATTCGAAAGATTATAAATCTAAATTCCCGAACAATATAGTGTCATGCCATGACTAATATGAAAGTAGAGAAAATTGATACAATTAATAATTGATAACAATTCCAACTTGTTCTATATCTTATATATATATGCATTGATGCGGTTTTTACTTACTAAATTATTGCAGCTTATCAATTTCAAACAATCTAATTCAAATCTTGGAACTGCTGCAAGGGCGGTTGATCAAGCTATTGAGAAGACAACAACAAATATTAGGTGGCGCAAGAGAAACGAACCAGAATTAAAATCTTGGTTATCTATGCAAAATATATAGTAAAATAAGAAAATTCAACTGTCTGACTTTGTTTTATTAATTTTCTTACAAAAATCGTTTTTTTATTATTGAATTTATAAAATTAACAGAACTACAAAGTTAATTTGCTACGTAATTTTCCGACCATTCACCGCTGCATAAACTAATTATGCATTTTTTCATGTTGACTCGAATTTTGAACCAAATTTTCTGTATTTACAATATTATGAGTTTGTTCCCAAAATTTAAAATTTTTGTTATGTTGTTCTTATTCTTGTTGGACACTTTAGTGGACATAACGATAGCTTGAATATTATGTTGTTGTTATTGTTATTATTTTTCTTCGTCACCATCATTATAAAATCGCTTCTCTCTTCGAATACTGGACCAATTGCTTTGAAATTTTCAGTGGTTAGAGTTTGAATTTTTTTCCGGAAGGCTATTACTTTTATTCATTTCTAAATTTTCTATTAATCCTATGAGATCTGATTTTTCATTCAAAATTTCGCTGTTCTAAAATTTACTCATGGGAACACTGTTTTAAAACTTATTTCAAGCGGTTGCGTGATCAAGCCTGCAGGTACGGTACTGCTAAGTTACCGTACCACAGTAAAATTGACTTATTCCTTTCGCGATCTTACTATTGCAGTAATGTCAAATGTAGGTTTTCTAGCAAATCTAGCCTACCGTATTTGTTAATTTTGATGAGAGCAAATTGAATTGAGTTATTGAAGGCCAGAAAAGAATCGTTCCACGATCGAATATCAGGCCTACAGTACAGCAACAGGGAAGGTAACGTACGGTACCTGTGTGAATTACGCTCTCAGTTTTTTGTTACAGTTCTGATGTAAACAACATAAATTTTATAGCCTAACTTATTTTTTTTATTCGATAAGAGGAAATGAATTGAGTTCTTATATGACAAGGAAGAACCGTTTCGCGAACGAATATCAGGTAAGTTACCGTACCGCATATGCTTATCGGGGAATCGATATTTTCTTTTTATTTTTGCCTGGTACCGTAATGGATGGGTGACTCGGATCACTTGGTATTCCAATTCATGTTGAAATTAGATGGAGAAAAATGGATCATTACCACAGGACATGGAAGAGCTATGACAGTCCTTGTACCGTTATTTCTACCCAAGTACTAGTAAGTCAGTTACCATAGCCATGAAGCTGTTTCACTGTTCAGCTTCGTGCAGGATACCGTACCGAAGGCGCAGGGTAACCTATGGTTTTTGGTGAAGTGATGCTAATATATTTCGTTTTATTCTGAGTATCCATATATTTGAGCATAGCTCTCTTGTTCTTGTTGTTTATCTTTGACACGTTTTGAAAAAATCACTTTTCTCTTTGATTTCTGGACCAATTGCTTTGAAATTATCAGTGGTTAAAGATAAAAATTTTCTCCAGAAGGCTGTTATTTTTTTTTACTATTACGTCATTAAAATTTTTGTGGCTCTACGTGTATATTTGAACATAGCTCTCTTGTTCTCACTTGTGATTGAATGGCTATACATTACCGATCACCCACATTCTCTTCCTCGGTATCTCAACAGGCATTAATGGAAAATAAAGAAAAAGGCAGTATGCAAACTATAAAAATAACTAGAAAAGTGAAAGTTTTGAGCCATCACATTTCTCGTATTACCAACGATCAGCTGCTGTGGAGCACTATGACATCATAGATTGGCGCCTATTGGATATTTCTGAAGAGCTAAGTTGAGGCCTATTGGATATTTCTGAAGTGAAGTTTTATCGGTTTGGGAGAAATACAAGTAACATTGGATCAATGTTAGCATCCATTTCATCTATAGTGGGAAAATTTCTGAACAGATATAGACACTAAAAAGGAATGTACATTGCGTAATTTTAATCGCGGACAAGAAAACTATGTTTTATATAAATTATCTCCAATTCTAAAAAGACGATGTTGACATTTATTTCCAAATTCACGTTCGCTTGCAGTGGGCAAGGAAAATGATACATCTTTTGCAATTGCGCATTATTATTGATTATTCTGATAGTCTTAACTTTGTTGTATATGCTTGCTGGCAACAGTATTTTATCTGTTGAGTCATACTTGACATGCATTTATCTGGGTCATGTTTTGTTGGCGCTTTATCATTTGTGTACTACTTTGAGGCGTTGCTGATGTTCTAGTGAATTGGAGCCCAGTATGGAACTGGAATCATGCGGAACTCGTGTGTAGAGGGCGTAGTTAGTTTCTCTACGACGCCTGCGCGTCGAGACTGGCTTCCTTATCACTGTCCACTTCTAGTATCTAATAAAACGTATAGAATCCTTGTTGTGTAATGCATTAAAACAGCGATGATAAAACAGTATAAAAAATAGACGATAAAGCAGTAAAATAACTTAACTTGGTAGGTTGAAGCTGGTTGAGGTACACGTCGTCGCAGAGACCGAAGTCGAGTCGCATCGTATAAATCACAAAAACCAAAACGTGTCAAGCGCGTCACGGGGTCACATGACCCGGATGTAGGTGTCACCAAAGGTGTCACTATACATGCATTTTTTGCGAATAGGCCTAATAAACCAAACTTAATTTACGGCTGTTCTGTTATCTTTTTTTAAACATCATTTTCCACTGAAGACTAATGTCTTAGAGTAGAAAAAGCAGTGTCTGATATAACCGAAGCAGTTGGGAAATGGAGTCACAAAATTTAATGTAACTGATCGAAAAGCGTTTGTTCATGTTTAATCAATCTTACCGCAGAAGAAAAAAATTCAAAGCTTGAAAAAACGAGATGCAACTCTGGACTGTTTTTCCTTATAATTGGTATGGTACCTTTCCAGTTCACTGTTTACATCTGTCATTTGGATATTTATTTGAATAAGCCCAGGTACCTAATACGAGTGTTGTGCTACAGTGCTTATCTGTTAGCTAAGCACATGGGTGATCTCTACTGGAGATAATACTTCTCATTAAAACTGCACACAGAAAACGCTTATACAAAATACTCCGAACAAAGAGCATCAAACCTCTTTCTATTGAGCCTGATCAAAGGATTACTTGTAAAACTTTTTGAATTGATTGAAGATATTCGTCCACGTGAGGACAATCGTGGTTTCTCGGGCAGTCTGCTTTATAGAGTTGATTGTGGTTTGTCGTTTTATGCGAGCCAGACGATCAGACGATAGCGAGCATTTTGGTTTCAAATTACATATGCGGAGCTCATGGATTTCAACCCTGATTGACAGTAGAGAAACATTGTACGCAAAGCTCGTCTTATAAACGTCGGTGTAATGACCGTTATACAAACTTATTAATTACTTCCGATTCACTGTTGACAAATTATTGACGAAATTCTTCAACGCGACGTTGAAAAAAGTATAATATTATAATATATCGCAAGAACGCGTGCTAAATCAATAGTTGGAATTACTGCTGTTGTCAAGATGGAATACAAAGCGTAACCTATAAGATGGGCCTGGCTGACAATTTTGTGGATAGAAATGTTCCATCACCAGTTTACCACTTTATCGTATGGAATCAATAACAACGTTGTTTCGTATTATTTTAAAATCGGTGCATACGAAATAAATATACTTGGTATCATAAGCGATATTTTCAGTACCATCGCTCCATTTATTGTTGTCATAACTGGAAGAATCACAGGAGTCCGTTCGTTGTTCTTATGTGGTCTCTTTGCAGCGGTGATCGGAATAGGAGCAGACATAATTGGATTCATGTCTAGGTCAGTATTTGCAGAAAAAAGTTGATATTGTAATGATCTGAAGTTGGTTCAAATCAAAGAAAAGCTATGCATGCGTCGCATGTTCTCATTGATCGTAGTACTTTATATTACGCAAATATGAACTACATAGTATTGTCAATTATACAAGATTGAAAGTCTTTTCAAATTGTTTTTCAAATATAGACAACTATAGTTTTCCCCCCAAAATAAGACAGGGTCTTATTTCAATATTCTTTCGAAAAATAACACTAGGGTTTATTGTTGGGGGATGTCTTTTATTTTCATTTATCACAAACAAAATTACAAATTAGAGAATTACGAGATCCTCAAATATACAAAATATGAAAACCAATATCCATTTACTTATAACTAACGTTACCTCAGGTCATTGAAACTTTCCCTCTCTCACACGTTTTAAATTTCTTTTTTATCGACCAGTTTACAGAAAGAAAATTTTGCACAATAAAATTAGACGATCAAATTAAAAACTAACTACTTTGTGTATACTACTAGATATCTTCGTTATTTACAGAAACTTTTACTGGATGGTTTTGATAGTTCAGGCGTTAATTGGGATATCAGGCTCTATATTCTATCTTCTAGTATTTGAGTTAGCAGCTTCATGGTTTCCCGCAAACGGAAGAGCAACAGCTATTGGAATTGCGATAGGGTTGGTAACGTGCCATACATATACTTCCAAGAATATGCATATACCGCCAACTGAATATACCTATAGCGCCAACTAAATATCCATATACAGCCAATGTCATATACATATACAGCCGCCAATCTATGATGTCATAGTGCTCCACAACAGCTTAGCGTTGATGATACGAGAAATGTGATGGCAGAAAATCCTATTTGAAAGAACTATTCTTCGGCTATTGGCAATAATCTGTCCACAAAATAATCGAATTAACGTTTGGTGGAATATATGAAACATAAAACTGCCTGTGCGCGTAGTTCTTGATGAATATCCAATAGGCGCCAATCTATGATGTCATAGTTCCCCACAACAGCTGATCGATGATAATACGAGAAATGCGATGGCTAAAAATCTTATTTGAAAAAAATATTTTTCGGCTATTGGCAATAATCCGTCCACAAAAAAATTAAAAAAATCATGCATCAGTGTATGACAGTCTTTTATCGAGTAAATATCCTGAATTCTTGCAGCTCAGCGGGACCAATAGTGACAGCATCACAATTGAAGTGATAACTGTTCAACAGCAGCGAGGAAATGAATGTGTGTATTTCGCTATAGCCAAACGCCCTAGCAATTTGCAAAAATATGGATCACTGTTTACTGACGTATAGAAATAAATTCAATGAAGGGCTCGAGATGGCATTTATTCAAAATGATATTGACGTTTCTCGGGGACACATTAAACCCGAAATACATTCTACCAGAGTACCCAAAACATCCCTTCGGTGGACTTGCAAAGTATTTTGCCATTGCAGGATGCCTTGTGATAGATCTGAAACATTGCAGTGCACACTGTGTGAAAAAATGTTTCATAAAAAATGTGACACTGACGAATTCCGGAACCAGAACTGGAAATGTCGGAATTGTCGTACTTAT